CATCACATCTGGGACTCAAAACACAGTTAGCCATGTGGGAGTCCAAAACTTTAACCACCACGCCACCTGCTGGCCCCAGTTCCTCAGGTTTTAAAAAGAATAAAATGAAATACCTTGACATTTTTGGATCATTGTGAAAATTAAATGTGATAACATGTTAACTACTTCTAGAATATTACCTGGTAGATAGCAAGTCAACACATCTTACCTATTGTTCATGCCCAACCATTCCTACTAAGACACCTTCAGGATCTGTAACAATCTCCCTTAGAATCTATCAAATTTTTAACAATACTAAATCAAAAATCTTCATTGTTTTCTCTGAAAGAGCATCTTCAAGCTTTAAAATCCTTTCCTCTTTATTTTCTTCCCCCCAATTCCTTCATGAATATGGGAGATGGTAGATAACTGGGTTATCATTTGAAGACTCAAGACTCTTTTTAGTCTTTTTATAATAAAACTCTCTTCTAGATATAATACAAAAGACAGATTGCTCTATGGATTGTGAATGTTACAAAGAGTTCACAAAGTATAATGTAATTTTGAGATTCATAAAAGAACAAACAGTTACTGTAGAGAAAAGATAAGAAATGATGCAGAAGTCTATTAGCCTGTCCAAAAAGTAGTGAATTCAGTAATAAAACACAGAAGGTAGAGATCTTCATGGATTATAGTCACTCACATCACTAACAACAGAGAAGATATTTTTCATACATTTTTTCTTAATAACTGAAAAAAACCTTTTTCTTCACAATACTGGATAGGTGGCATACCAGGCAAAGACAATTCCTTCAGTCACAAATTTTCTAGAATAGAAAAACCTAAAGGTTCACATGTTCTGCCATGCATATCCCTTATTCAAAGCTTTAAAAATATTAGGCATCTAGCCTTCCTGACAGCCTATAACATTAAGCAGTAATATACTTGAGCCTTTCTTTTTTTCTTTTAGTTGGTATAAGAGATACTTATAGAGAGGGAAAGTGAGAAAGCATCTCTCAGGGGGATGGCCACACCTCAATCCCTTTTCTTCCATTCTCCTTTTGAGGTTTTGGGCACTCATATGTGCGTGGTGTGTTTTTCAAACCACCAGGCTCAAGACCCAACCATGCAGTCAGCCATGTGAGATCCACTTGCCCTAACCATCATCACCAGCTGGCTATGAGAACCTCCCTTCTATCAGAAGACATTAAGCTTAACTGAAATTTGGCTATCCATTCAAAACTCTGATTCTACGAAATTTAAATACTATGGGTCTACTAGATGGATCAAGAAGATATAGTGACAAATTTATCGAAATATTTTTTAAAGAGCTAGAGACAAGTGTTTTAAATAATTCTATATTTGTTGAAGTCCTCCTATATGTTAGATACTGAGGTGCATGCTTTCTAATACATTATACAATTTCATTCTCCCAACAATTGTGTTGGGTAAGGTTTGTCCTCATTTTACAAATGAGAAAACTAAGGTCCAGTGATTTGCCCAAGGATGTGTTGCTTGTATAAGATGCAGTTAGAACTCCAATTCAAATTTTCTGACCCCAGTTCAATGCTCTTGTTTTAACTGCACCATTGTCACTTGGAAAATTCAAGTACAGATATATGTCCTTACAAAAAGGATACATTCTGAGAAATGTGTTGTCAGGCAAGTTTGTCACTGTGCAATCATCACAGTATACATACAGGAACCTAGATGTATAGCCTACTACACACCTAAGCCACATGGTGTACCTGTGTGTTTTTTATGGGGCCACCATCCTGTATTTGGTCCATTGTTGACCAAAACATCATTATGCAGCACATGACCATACTCTAAATCTTAGCTCTTAGAAGATGTGCCAATCTTTTTATCAGGCGAAAGGCAACAGTTGTGACTGGAGAAGAAAAATTCACCATATTATAAAAAAAGACTTACTGTGCTTAAACTGACAATTTATTCAGTCTAATTTAAATGCTTTTGTTCATGCTGTCTGCCTCCTTAGACACCCATTTATCTTTAGATACAGTCTACACCAAGACATAACTCAATAATTACATCCTCCAAGAAAGTTTTCCAGATTAAATTATTTGCTTCCCTCCTCCCAGATGAAATCTCACTGCTTGTATCTGGTCTGGACTACATTATCCCATACTCCTATTGTTCTCCAGTCATATATTCAGAACTACCCTTTTTCATTCCATAAACTAATGAGCATTTTGATTGTCAATGGTGAGCAAAATAGGAAAGGTCCTTGCTATCATGGAGAGTTTTTGTCTAGAACTTTAACAAAGGTAAAAGTAATATAGCATATAAAATTATGATGTTCCAGGGCAAGGCTTTCTTTCCTACTCTCTAAAGAAAACTCTCTCCCTTGCAAGCTTGGTAACACTTAGATGTATTGTTTTCCAACATTATTTTGGAAACATTCTATCTTAATAGCAATACCCAAAGCATACTTTAATATTTGTATTATACATTATAAATATATATGTGTGTGTGTATATAGGTGTGTGCGTGTGTGTGTGTGTGTATATATATATATATATTATACATTATAATGTATATATATATATACATTAAGCATTTATAGGGATGATCTTGGAGCATCAGGTGATTTATAAGAAGATATAAATCTTACAAACATCTTCAAGGACAAAAATTCCTTCTACCATGCCTTCCATATAAGACCACCAATTTCATGCCTTTGTGAAGTCATATGAGGGGTGGGGACCAAGGTGGGAAAAAGAATAGATCTAAAATCTCTCAGGGGTTGCCCACATATTGAAATCAAATCTGCACGTATTAGTCCAGATATATCTTCCCATATCCCATCTACAAGAAAACCGTATGTCAGCCACAATTGTGCCAATCAGGTAATTCTAATCTCCCTGCACCCAGCCACTTTCATTCAATAAAAGAAGTATATTTCTCAGAGGTTTTTAAATTTGCTATATTTATGTCTTATTTGTAAGTCACATTCATAAGAATAAAATAGGACCTACATCTTCTACTTATAAATCACCTGATGCTCCAAGATCACCCCATTAATGTTTTCCACATTCGATATTATAATACAAATAATAAAGTATACTTCAGGTATTGTTATTAAGAGAGATCATTTCCAAAATAATAATAGAAAACTACATCTAAGTATCAACTTTTTACTTCCTATTTTACGCTTTGATTTAAGTAACCTGCCTTTTAAGGCTTATTTTAAAGCTAAGCAAAGCTGAAATGTACTAAAAGCATGCACTGGTTAGAATCCTTCAATTTATCCTTTGAAATGAAAGATCCCTTTGTAATGCATATTTTACAAATTCATAACTTCATTTTTCTTAAAGTAAACTTAAATATAACTTCATTACACAGACTCGTAATTTATTCCCCGAAGTATATTTTAAGGTTTCCAATTTTAAAATGAACCAAAAAACTAAATATTGTCAAATATATAAATATGTGCCATAAACGTTGTAAAAAAATTTAATTGCCTCTACATTTTACCAGAAAAATTTAGCAGCATCTCTCCATAGATCAGAGCTTTAATAATCATTATGAGTTAATGAAAAAGAAATAAACCGTGACCATTTTTAATTAAACAAACATTTCTAAGCTCCTGTGTACAATGCATTGTGGCTCAAACGGTTCACATGGAACTTGACCGCACAACTTAATCTCCATAATTAAAGACCTAGTAGCTCTTATGTTTCATCTTCTCCCTGTTCCTTTGAACAGGCCATATTGTAGTCATTCCATTCACAGTTGTAATCAAAAAACAAAAAGTAACAAATATTTGAAATAAATTTTTAACAGAGGACATCTAAATTGCATGGCCTTCCCCTTAGCTTCTCCAACCTGTTTTATAAAACCAGCATGACCTTAATAATTTTACTGCAAAACAGGTTCTAGCAAGCACATAAACTGATCACAGTCTCTCAGCATGATCAAGTTTAGATGAAACCCTAACAAGCAATTCGCCCAGGTTCCTCCATAACTCTTGCTCTCTCTGGACTCCTAAGGCAGACAAAAAAACTGTTCAAATGATTATCTGAAAAGATCTACAGTGGCACAAATTTGCTGCCACTGTTTCAAGTAAAGTAAATGAAAAGCTAACTCTACCATACACAGGACAGTCTACTACTACTTAGATGTCATTTCAGTCTCCCAGCAGCAAAAGGCAAAAAATTTCATTAAATTCTTTATTTAAAGCAAACTGCTTATATCATTAGTCAGGTAAGTTTTCCCATCTGTTTAAGTAGAATCCCAAATTACCTATTATTTCATACAGCATTCAGATAAAATGCGATTAGGTTATGGTCTCCCAACGCAGCTGTCTCTCATAAAGAAGTGTTAAAGGACTTTTGTGAATGGAAAACAGGCATATACTGTTACTGTTGCTTCCCTCCAGCCGGTCCTGAGTGGGTGGCTCAGTGAGCACGCTCCATGTGAAGCTCCTTGGGATCTGATCCCATTCTCGAGAGAGAGCTTAAAAATAGACATTAAATGCAAAAGTATAGCAAAGGCTTCGCCTCTCCTCCTACGTTACAGGAAGGCCAGGGAACTGAGGTTCAGAGGAACAGCAGCGTGTCACTGGGCTCTGCAAAGGCGGGTGCGGTCTGCGGTGCGCGGCACAGCCTCCTCTGGGCTGTCACAGGGAGCCTCGCCTTAACCGCACCGAGCGACAAAGCGCCAGCTCTCCCGGGCGGGCGCAGGGGCTTCCGGAAGGGTCGTGCCGGGCGCTCTGTCAAACTTCAGGAGGGGGCAGACAACCTGGACCCGCAAAACGCTCCGGCCGCCCCCGCCCGCGTTCCCCTGCCGCGGCTGTAAGGCTGCAGACGCACCTACCGTGGGCCCCAAACCACTTCACCCTGCAGCCTTTCCGATCCTCGCGTCCGAACGAGACAAAGGAGTGCAAGAGGAACTCCTCAGAGCGGGGTGGCCAGCAGTCCCCGAAAGCCCCAGCTCGGAACCTGAGAAGAAAGGGACGCGGTCGCACCCCCCCATTCGGGGAACGGCGCCACACTCACCGGTGCGGAGCCCCGGGAGAGGTGGGGTGCCAGCAGCCGGCTCCTCCCGGGTCGGGGCGGCGGCGGGGCCGGGGCCC